AGTCCCCATTTTGCCACTAATTTTTATTTAATCCAATGAATAATTCACTCTAATTCCCCATTTTGCAACTAGTTTTTAAGTAACCCATTCAGAGTCTCACTCCAGGACCCATTTTGCAACAAATTTCAAATAGTTCAAAGAGCAAATCACTGCAGTCCCCATTTTGCAATCAATTTCGAATTAATCTAATGAGAATCTCCTCACCTTGCAACCTGTATTAAACCAACAGATTGAGAATTTCACTCCAGTCCCCATTTTTGCACTAATCCAATCAGCAGTTCATTTTAGTCCCAATTTTGCAACCAGGTCTTAAATAATCTTGGAACAATCTGACATCTGTTCCCTTTTTTACAACCATTTTTTTTAACAAATTAAAGATAATCTTATTATTTCCCCATTGCACAATCCTGTTTTAATTAATATAATAGATATCCCTCACACCTGTCTCTATTTCTCAGCCAACTGTTTAATAATCAAATAAGAAATTGACCTCAGTCCCATTTTGTACATCTCGTTTTTAATTAATCCAGTAATCTCACTCCAGTCGCCGTCGCATGACCTTATTTTTGTCAACTAATTCAATGAAAATCTCTCTCCAGTCCGCAACATAGAGCTCTAGTAAAAACTAATTCCTCTACTGTACAATGTTTTATGAGTCTCACTATAAGCCATTGCCCAGTCCCATTTTGAACTAATCCAGGACTTTTTTGTTGTAAAAAAGTAAACAAGTTTGCATTTGATCGATACGGTAAAATGTTCATTTGGTTATTAGCATTGTGCTACAAGTACTACACTCACTCGATGCTGAGAAGGTAAACATAGTCTCTTAGATCCACTCAGGTAATCTCATACTCAGAAACATGGGTCATTTCACAATTACAGGTGGTCTCAGGTGTTGCACTGTTCTGGGACAGGTTAGCTGCACTGGACAGATAAGTTTGTTTTAATACATCCAATTCAGTTTAACAACTGCATAATTAACCCTATAGAAGACACAAACTTTATATTAATTAACTTTATATTAATTACTTCTGACTTATGTTTCACCCATTTTGCCACCAAATTTTTAATGAATCCAATGAGTGATTCACTCCAGTCCCCATTTTGTAACCAATTTTTAATGAATCCAATGAGTGATTCACTTCAGTCACCATTTTGCCACCAATGTTTAATGAATCCAATGAGTGATTCACTTCAGTCACCATTTTGCCACCAATTTTTAATGAATCCAATGAGTGATTCACTTAAGTCCCCATTTTGCAATCGATTTTTAATTAATCTAATGAGCAATTCACTCCATTCCCCATTTTGCCACAAAATTTTAATGAATCCAATGAGTGATTCACTCCATTCCCCATCTTGCCACAAATTTTTAATGAATCCAATGAGTGATTCACTCCATTCCCCATTTTGCCAATAATTTTTAATGAATCCAATGAGTGATTCACTCCAGTCCCCATTTTGCAATCAATTTTTAATGAATCCAATGAGTGATTCACTCCATTCCCCATCTTGCCACAAATTTTTAATGAATCCAAAGAGTGATTCACTCCATTCCCCATTTTGCCACAAATTTTTAATGAATCCAATGAGTGATTCACTCCATTCCCCATCTTGCCACAAATTTTTAATGAATCCAATGAGTGATTCACTCCATTCCCCATCTTGCCACAAATTTTTAATGAATCCAATGAGTGATTCACTCCATTCCCCATTTTGCCAATAATTTTTAATGAATCCAATGAGTGATTCACTCCAGTCCCCATTTTGCAATCAATTTTTAATGAATCCAATGAGTGATTCACTCCATTCCCCATCTTGCCACAAATTTTTAATGAATCCAATGAGTGATTCACTCCATTCCCCATTTTGCAATCAATTTTTAATGAATCCAATAAGTGATTCACTCCAGTCCCCATTTTGTAACCAATTTTTAATGAATCCAATAAGTGATTCACTTCAGTCCCCATTTTGCCACTAATTTTTAATGAATCCAATGAGTGATTTACTCCAGTCCCCATTTTGCAATCAATTATTAATGAATCTAATAAGGGATTACTCCAGTCCCCATTATTTAACTAATTTTTAATAAATCCAATGAGTGATTCACTCCAGTCCCCATTGTGCAACTAATTTTTAATGAATCCAATGAGTGATTCACTTCAGTCACCATTTTGCCACCAATTTTTTAATGAATTCAATGAGTGATTCACTCCAGTCACCATTTTGTAATCAAGTTTTAATATATCCAGTGCGTGATTTACTCCAGTCCCCATTTTGCCACCAAATCTTAATGAATCCAATGAGTGATTCACTCCAGTCCCCATTGTGCAACTAATTTTTAATGAATCCAATGAGTGATTCACTTCAGTCACCATTTTGCCACCAAATTTTTTAATGAATCCAATGAGTGATTCACTCCAGTCACCATTTTGCCACCAAGAGATGGAGAGAACTGTCTGCCCCGCCCACTCCTCCCCAGACTCGAAGCTCATGAGGATTGCCAGTGAAGCTACTAATGGACCACTGAATTGAAGGAGAAGTGCTAATACTACAAAATTATGGGACATCTTACCACAGCTATGCAGATGATCCCCGGATCTACTCGGCCCTCTCCCCAAACAACTATAGTCCCACGGACTCACTTTCTAAGTGCCTTGAGCGCATCACTAACTGGATGGGACAAAACTTTCTGCAGTTGAATAAAGATAAAACAGATTCTTTTATTAGGGAAGTGGCACAGATTAGCCACCTATCTGGACTCCTGAGCCCTAAAATCTAGGACATAACCTTGGAGTACTAAAGAAATCTGATTTCAGTTTTAGCAGTCGTGTCAAAGCAGTTACTAAATCAGTTTTTTATCACCTTAAGAACTTCAACAACATCAGAGATGTTCTGACTAAAGCACACCTGGAGAAACTCATCCACACCTTTATCTCTAGCAGGGTTGATCACTGTAATGGTCTCCAAAGTGGATCCTCACAAAAAGACAATCAAACAGCTTCATATGATTCAAAATGCAGCTGCCAGAGTGTCACTAGGAGTAAAAGAAGGAAAACATCACCCCCCATTAAATCCTTACACTGGCTACCAGTCTGTTCCAGAATAGAGCAGGAGCAGCGTATTTATCTGATCTGCTGCAGCGATATGAGCCGAGCAGCACTCTCAGATCATTAGGAACTGGTCAGTTAGTCCTGCCGAAGGCAAAGACTAAACATGGAGGAGCAGCGTTCGGCTACTAAGCTGCTCTTAAATGGACCCAGAGGGCATTAAAAGAGCCCCGACACTGGACACTTTAATCTGGCCTCAAAATGTTCCAACTTGAGCAACTGTCATCTACTTCTCCACTGCACTTCTCTCCTCTAACACCACTATATTATCCTAATTTAATCTTTAATTTCATTTAAAATTAAATGTTTTTATTTGTTCTCTTTTAAATCAATTGTTTGAATCATGTATTTAATTTCTATTCTTCTACATTGTTTAAGCTAATTTGAATTATCTTTGCAGTCTCTCATTTCTATAGCACCCTGAATGACCACAGGGTACGAATATGAATGAAAACAATCCCAAATTACAGAAATCATTCCCAAAAACACCTCAGAGAACATGACAGTGAAGAGGTAGAGCGAGAGATGAGAGGTAGAGAAATAGAGAGAGAAATCTGAACACAAAAGTTATGCGGGGCTGTTTCGTTAAAGAGCAATATCAACGGAATTATGTAAAAAAATTGGGTACCTTATCATGTGTCACCCATCATCGTAGGTAAGCACAGATAAGTGTAACGTTTTTTTTTAAACTAGGAAATGAAAAACAGTAGAACAAACTGTAGCTAGCTAGCTACAATCATTAGCTAGACGAACAAAAATATGGACAGCGTAATTTTGTCAGCTAATTATTAGCTAGTAGCTAATAATCAAGTTAGCTAATAATAGATAAACATACATTTATTTGATCTTTCAATCAAAAGAGCCATTAAGTACAATAAGTTCATTTTTTAAGTGTCAGGAAATATTTTTTTCAGTGTTCATACTGTTCAAACTTTGCCTTTATCACAGCTTCCATTCTTTTCAGGATACTCGCTTTAGGCTTTTCAGTAAGTAAGCCTTCAAACCTTCAAAGTTCAGTCTTAGAAGTTGGTTTAACACTTGCTTCTCAAGATCTAAGTAACTTCAGTGACAAATTTTAGACTCCTTCCTCCACGAAACCCCCCTCCATTTGAGACGTCCAGATACTGTGTTCTCGTACAAATGTTCGTCTGTCCGTGCTTCCGCTGTGGGAAAACAACTAGATGACGGAAGTTGAAGACAACTCAGCGCTATGGATCCGAAAAGATGTGCAGCTTTTAAGAAGCCTCTCTGAGAAAAGACAAAAGAAGAAATCAAACAGAAACATTACCTGCAAAATGAAGGACTTCTACTTATTGGCTGTTTGGACTGGAAATTAAATAAATGAAAGGTGGTCTTTGACTTTTGAACAGTAATGTGCACTTAAAAAAGACGGTTCTTCAAGAGTTCTTTGCTAAAGACAACGGTTCTATATAGAAGCATGAACACTCAAAGAACAATTTGCTTGCCTAAATGGTTCTTCGCATGGTGAAATGTTCTTCAGATTGATGGAGAATGTGTTGTATATGGTTTTAGAACCGTTTGGAAATGGGTTCTATATAAAACCAAAAAGGGTTCTGCTAGAGGAATCTCCATCAATCTCCATCAATCTGAAGAACGATTTAACCATTCAAAGAGATGTTTTAGCTTGCAAATCGTTCTTTGAGAGTTCATGGCTCTATACAGAACCATTTTCTTCACTAAAGAACCTTTGAAGAACCATTTTTTAATAAATAATTGCAAATCCCAATCCATGCTTTTGGTAACTTAGCTGACATCAATGCTAGTTAGTGGTTGTTTGGGAAGTGTGCTGACAGTTATTTGTGTACCGTTAATCAGACAGATCGACAAATCTGAGCTAAATACGCGAATGAAAGTCAGACAGCGCCCCCTTCAGTTTTCCTGGTTGGCGACGGCTTTCCTGCTGCGTCCGATAAATGGGAGCAACCTGAGCTCGGCCCTGAAGTTGTGGTTGAGCCAGCAGTAGATGAAGGGGTTGTAGCAGGTGGAGCTCATGGCCAGCCAGTGGAAGGTGAAGTACAGACCGTTATTGGCATCGATGACTTTGCTGGACAGCAGCACCACGTAGCAGTTCAGCGGAAACCAGCAGACCGCGAACACCACCACCACCGCTGTCAGCATCTTCATGGTCATCTTCTTCCTCCGCCGGTGCGCTGTGCTCTGGGCCAGCGTCACATCGCCGATGGCGTTGCGCATCCACAGCTTCTTCGCCACCATGATGTACGCAATGGAGATGATCACCATGGGCAACATGAACAGCAGAATGAAGGTGGTCAGGTCCAGATACTTCCAGAAGAGATCAGACGGGGGAGGAAAGCGGGGCAGGCAAACCATTCTGACTCTTCCGCCACTGAGAAACAGAGACAAAATCAGAGGAAGATGAAATTTTACTTTTGCAAAGGCCACATTTTGTGTTTAATTTTTTTCAGATGTTTAATAAACAGAAACAGAAAGTGTGTATTAAAATGTGCTGTAGAGGATGTGTTCACTTATTCACACTCAGAAAATCAACACAACGAGGAATCTGAAATTTCGCACACTTTATCATGATTTTAATTTGATGATATGTAACTGTTGTGAGTCTGTTTGCGAAATCAGTGTTATTCATGATATCACTAAAAATGTATTTCCTATATATCTGTCTATGGCACTGTGCAAAGGTAAGAGCCTTCATTTTAATTTCCAGTCAAAACAGCTATTAAGTACAAAGTGGGAAAAGAAATCGGGGAAAAACAGCAAATATTTAAGAGAAAAATGACACAGAAGCCTCCACAACCAAACCTAATATCAGATGTTTGAGTGTTTAGTGTGTCCAGTCTTCACCTTTATTAAACCCTTTTATTCACTTTCAGTTTCTCAAAGAAATCTGCTGACACACCTCCAGAGAAAACCTGAATAAAACAAATGCTGTGCCAATTTTTATGAGTCCATTTTCTATATATATATATATATATATATATATATATATATATATATATATATATATATATATATATAAAAAAATATATATATATATTAACATCAAAGATAATAAAACAGCTTCATTGACGCTGAAAACCTTTTCTCCCACTTTTTTTTTTCAATTCCCATCCTTACTACTTCACTAATCGAGCAGAAAATAACCCTGACACTCCCACATTCCTGTATGACCACTGTAGGGTGTCTATATGTGCACTAATGTCATGGAAGACATTCATGACATGATACTTTTCAACAGTGGCATACCAAAATAAAGAATTAAAGCTATCTTGAAAACCTCTTCACAGAAAACCAAACACAAGCATTTGTCTTTAAAAAAGCAAAATGCTGAATTGGTGTCAGAATTGAACATAATCTACCTTAAAATGCAATCAACAGAACTATATCGCTTTTTCCAACATGCAGTACGTTAAATTATTTCGGCAGATTTTCTGTGTGTCGCTTTTTCACCTTTTTCATTGTTGTGATTGAATTTAAATGATGCATATACACTTGACGTGGGAAGCAATACGGCTGTGTATTGGTTGCATTTCATGGTGGACTGCATTCGGGTCCAACACGAATCCAGAATTTTGTTTTTAAATGCTCACGTGTTGCTTTTCTGTGATGAGGTCGAGCAATGTGAAAACAATGCAGTGGGGGTTTTGCTTTTCAGTTTCTCAAAGAAATTAGCCGACACACCTCCAGAGAAAACCTGAATAAAACAAATGCTGCGCCAATTTTTGAGTCCATTTTCTATTTATCTTCAAGGTTATATAAATGTTCTAAAATGAGCAATATATATATATGTTAATTTTAATGTCAGAGACAATAAAACAGCTTCACTGACGCTGAAAACATTTTCTCCCACTTTTTTCCCCACAAAGAAAGCTGAACAGGAATCAATAAGGGAATCGTTAAAGACGATTCTGTCTTTAACGATTGTGGAAATGTGTTGCCGTGTGTGCTCTGCAATTCGCGCTTTCCGCTGTAGTGATTGCATTTCAGTTTGGCATGAAATCCTCTCCGTATCCTCTGAGCAGCTCCGTGTTTTAGCTCAGAGATCTGACCGTAATGTAAGAGCATTTCTCTAAAAGCCCTAAAACAGAACTCCTGAGAGCCAAACTCACCAAACACAAAGAGCTCAGCTGGATCTTTATCTTACAAAACGACCATCATCTCTCCCCCTACTGACCGATCAATCTACAACACAGCAGAAGCAGAATGACCACACCACGGAGGAAGAGAGAGAGAGAGAGAGAGAGAGAGAGAGAGAGAGAGAGAGAGAGAGAGAGAGAGAAACAGTATACTCTTAAAAAAGATGGCTCTTCAAGTGTTCTTTAGTCAAGAAAAAAAAATGATTAAAGGGTTCATTACATCATGAAAGGGATCTTAAGGAAGTCCTCTAGATGGTTCTATGTATAACTTTTTTTGAAAAAGGTTCTATATAGCACCAAAAGGGTTCTTCTATTGTTACAATATCAAGCTTAAAACAATAGAAGAACCCTTTGGGTGCTATATAGGAACCTTTTCAAAAAGGTTCTATACTGAACCATGTACAGCACATTCTCCTTTAAACTGAAGAACAAATCCACGATGCAAAGAACCCTTTAATCATGCAATGAGTTCATTAAGTGTTCATGGTTCTACCAAACTCAACCCTTTTTGGCGCTATACAGAACCCTTTCCAAAAAGGGTCTATATAGAACCATCTACAGCACATTTTCCATTAAACTGCAGAACCAATCCATGATGCAAAGAACCCTTTAATCATGCAAGTGTTTTTTAAGTGTTCAAGGTTCTACATAGAACCACTTTCTTTACCAAAGAACCCTTAAAGAACCAGATTTTCATGCTTCAATGTTCCAAAAACACACTCATGGTGTTCGTCTTTATTCACCCTCTGTCTGACATGCTCTGTTAGAGATCCTGTGTCTTTTAGCCCCGCCTTTTGATGAGCCCAGTGTGCTCTGACTGGTCAGCCCGCCCACTCTGTTCTAACTGGTTGACAGCCAAAGTGGTTCTGCCCCTCCACATTCCACCCCTGTCCTGCAGTCTGCAGACAGACCCTTCTCTCCTGAGCAGCTCTAAACTCCGCTGTGGCTGTTTCTCCGGCGGCGGCGGTTCTGCCGTATCAGTTTGATCCAGAGTCGATCCTGAAAGTCCAGTCAGCGTCTTCTCCTCACGGCAACAACACTGAACAAACTCTTCCTCCCCCAGTAGCCGCTGTGCACTGTGTGAGGGCGTGCTGAGCTCATTGGTGGGCGGGCAGTAAGGACTGTGTTATGAGATGATGTCATCGTGTGACAAAGGAAAAGGGCTGGAAACCCAATGAGGTGTTTCAGGCAGCTGAGAAAAGTGGTTTCTGTGGAAGAGAGTTTCTCCATCTGGAGGGAACTTTGAACTTTGTAACGTTGTGGACCATTTCAATTGTCCTACCTAAGCTCCTCCCACAAATGTGTAATTTCATAGCTACTGTTGCTAAGTTGAACAAGCTTTACAAAATGCAGGTAAAATACCATTCAACCTAATGGGAAACTGTAGAACAGACTCAGTTTATATCACAATACCTGCATTTAGAGTCGGTTATTCATTCAGCCTAATGAGAAACTGTAGAACAGACTCAGTTTATATCGCAATACCTACATTTAGAGTCAGTTATTCATTCAGCCTGATGAGAAACTGTAGAACAGACTCAGTTTATATCACAATACCTACATTTAGAGTCAGTTATTCATTCAGCCTAATAAGAAACTGTAGAACAGACTCAGTTTATATCACAATACCTACATTTAGAGTCGGTTATTCATTCAGCCTAATGAGAAACTGTAGAACAGACTCAGTTTATATCACAATACCTACATTTAGAGTCAGTTATTCATTCAGCCTAATGAGAAAAAGTAGAACAGACTCAGTTTATATCACAATACCTACATTTAGAGTCAGTTATTCATTCAGCCGAATGAGAAACTGTAGAACAGACTCAGTTTATATCACAATACCTACATTTAGAGTCGGTTATTCATTCAGCCTAATAAGAAACTGTAGAACAGACTGAGTTTATATCACGATACCTACATTTAGAGTCGGTTATTCATTCAGCCTAATGAGAAACTGTAGAACAGACTCAGTTTATATCACAATACCTACATTTAGAGTCAGTTATTCATTCAATCTAATGAGAAACTGTAGAACAGACTGAGTTTATATCACGATACCTACATTTAGAGTCGGTTATTCATTCAGCCTAATGAGAAACTGTAGAACAGACTCAGTTTATATCACAATACCTGCATTTAGAGTCGGTTATTCATTCAGCCTAATGAGAAACTGTAGAACAGACTCAGTTTATATCACAATACCTACATTTAGAGTCAGTTATTCATTCAGCCTAATGAGAAAAAGTAGAACAGACTCAGTTTATATCACAATACCTACATTTAGAGTCAGTTATTCATTCAGCCGAATGAGAAACTGTAGAACAGACTGAGTTTATATCACAATACCTACATTTAGAGTCGGTTATTCATTCAGCCTAATAAGAAACTGTAGAACAGACTGAGTTTATATCACGATACCTACATTTAGAGTCGGTTATTCATTCAGCCTAATGAGAAACTGTAGAACAGACTCAGTTTATATCACAATACCTACATTTAGAGTCAGTTATTCATTCAATCTAATGAGAAACTGTAGAACAGACTGAGTTTATATCACGATACCTACATTTAGAGTCAGTTATTCATTCAGCCTAATGAGAAACTGTAGAACAGACTGAGTTTATATCACAATACCTACATTTAGAGCCAGTTATTCATTCAGCCTAATGAGAAACTGTAGAAATTGTTAATTTTGTTCCCTAAAATCATTTGAAAATGAGCTGTACTGATATTAAAATATTTATGCAATACGACAGGAGAAGGGATGCTACACACTTACATATAATAACTGCTGTGCTGCATTCGTGGACACAAAGCCAATGTCTGACACTATATCCCCATCTCCAGTGCAACATTGTGATTATACCACAAATTACATCACTTATTCTTTTTTATTATCAGATCTTGAGACAGTTGAGACATAAAAACTGATTAACAAGAAAGTTTGTTTGTACAGAAAAACAGATCTAGCGCTGCTGCATATAAATGCTGCTAAATGAAGTACCACATCAGAAAATGTTCAGGATGTCGACACTGGGCACAAAACAAAATGCAAACAAATTTATCAGCTAAAAGCTTTAGAGAGCTAGTTATACACTGTACATGTCTAACACAGTTAAAAGCAGCTCACATCAGATTTAAAACAGTAAGTCAAATTTCCAGCAGGTCGAAATTGAGAAGACGGATCGTACACCTCACTTTTCTCCACCATGGATTTGTTTCCCATTCGTGGCTCGTTTAACGTGGTTTAATGAAAGACGGCTGGTTGCAATGTGACGTAAAAATATAAACAACACACTTTTTACTCACAATAAATTTGTGGCTATAACATCTTTAACTGCTGATTATCACTGCTATGATTCAGGCGGAGTGATAACTTATTCTTGATCTGGAGAGATTGGTACTCATAGGCTACGTTCACATTACAAGCCTCATTGCTTAAATCCGATTTTTGCTGAGATCTGATCTCTCTGACACAATGGTTCACACTTATTTAGGTCAGTGATTCAAATCTGTCATTAATGTGACGAACCGGCGTCCTGAAATGACACATCCTACTCAGTAACGTCACGTGAATGAATTGTGTGCATCATCAGCACAAACTAACGAGCAGAACGAGCTTCGCTGTGAAGATAATTAACTCTGATCAGCTCTCAGCTTCATTATTAGAGCGAGACGAAGGAGAAAAAGGTGAGATGAGCTGCTTTTCCACCGTTTACAGGCTTTAACTTCTGTCGGCCGCTGCTGCCATGGTAACGCTGAATGATAGCGCAACGAGAAAAAAAGCACATGAATTTTGGGTCTGAGCATCACATTAAGGTCACACGGCCACTAATCGGATATGTATCCAATCTAGGACCATATATGAAAGTGGCTCAGGTCAGATTTGAAAAGATCAGATTAGGGCAAAAAAATCGGATTAGTGCCAATTCAACCTGGTAAAGTGAACTCCGCCACAGACATGGCTGTAACTAGCTATGAGGACAAACAGGTCTGGACCTCGGTAGTTTCAGAAGGTTTTTTTTTGCGTGTTTCCATTCATTCAGTGCTTGTATCGTTCATAACTAGCATTGGGACACCAAGGTCCTCGTAAGTTTCGGAAGGGTTTCATGAGATTCCGTGCGGGAAAAAAGCAACGGAACTACCCGATGAGCAGTGATTGGTTCTCAGCTGACCTTAAAACAGCTGTTGTTCGGCCAGAGACTTGACTGCTCACTCTGTTTCTCACTTTATGAGACGCTACACTGCCCAGAGAGGAGGAGTAACTTCTTGAGATGTTCAGGTATGGAGCACACATGCTATAGGCTAACATATCACTGCTGTCGGAAGAAAACCTCGTATCTCCATTTTTGACGTTTTTCAGTTTTTATTTGAAAATGCCTGTTGATGCTTACATTGTATGTAAATTTAATGATGAATGGACCAACAGAAACGGCCCAAAATTACTTGAAAAAAAAGTCTGGTTCCATTGACTTCCATTAAAAGTAAAGATGGTTTTTTTCCTTCTCCTGTAAAGTTACCATTTTGGAGATACAAGGTTTTCTTCCGACAACAGTGATATAATATCACAATTGTAAAAATGTAGTTAGCTAAGTTTATTTGCTGGTTAAGTCAGCATGCTTTAGTCTAGATCCAGTAGCTGCTCAGTTTAGGCTACAGGCTCTGTAGTTGGTGACATTAGTGTTTAGATGAGAAATTCAAGCTGTACTGTGTTAACTGCTTATAATATACTACAACAGGCATGAGGAAGTTCACCGTTAGCCAGCATGTTGATGGTATAGCTGTAAGGGTGTGCGCCACAAGTTCAGGGAACTCCAATTCCCAGAAGCCTTTGGGCTGATTAGGCCCAACCTGGTACACCTGTGGACTCTTCTACTTAAGGCCGTGGCAAACAGCAGCCCTTTGTCACACCTTCGTAGAGGGGTGACTGGTATGGTGGGTATTCAAACAAAAAGAAAAGAAAAGGAAAAAGAAAAGAAAACATGAAGAAAGCAAAAAAACAAAAAAAAAAGAAAAGAGGTAAAGACGTGAAGACCCCACTTATCGGACTGTTACCTCGTTGATCCCTTTCCCACTATACACCCTTTTAACTGCTGCTGCACTCAGCACTTTAACTTTAGACCCATACTTTGCACAATGTAAGGTTTACAGGTATGGCTGGGTGTGTGTGTTTGAGTGAGTGATGGTAGGAATGCATGTTTTATTTTATTTTATTTTGGTATATTTTATATTTATTTTATTTTATTCACTACATGTCAATGTCTGTCTGGTACTGTGCACTGTGAGCTCCTGTAACCAAAACCAAATTCCTTGTATGCGTAAGCAAACCTGGCCAATAAAGCTTGATTCTGATTCTGATTCTGATAAAGCTGATCTTCCTCTCATCACAGAGAAAGTGTGTTTTGTTTTCTCATTATCTTTTATTTCACTTCTTTTTATCTCAGCCTTTGTTTGATCATGCTGCTTTCAGCGTCCCCTTTGTTCGCCTTTTCCCGCCATTTCTTGGGTTTTTTTTGGGGGGGGATTTTAACCATTTTTTTCCTGAATTTATTTAGTCGTCTCCAATTCCCCCCGCTTGTTAGGACTCCCCCAATCACACAATACTACCAACGCTAGGAGGGTGAAGGCTAACACAGGCTTCCTCTGAGACCTGTGAAGCGGCACCGCATCTTTTTGAACTGCTGCTCACACAACAGCATTGGACAGCTGAACGCACTCGGAGGAAAGCGCCAACCACCAGATCTGTTATGTCAGTTAACAGATGCCTGCACTGACTAGCATCGCGTTGAGTGAAGGGGGGAGACCGGGGGCCATCCTACCCACCCAGAGAGTGAGGCCACTGATGGTTGTAGCATCACCAGGGATTGAACTCGCGATGATCTGATGACAGGGCCAGCGCTTAGACGGTTGCACCACTCGGGAGCCCCTTCCTGACGTTTTTTTTTTATTTTTTTTTATTCCCATTCATTGAGGTGTTATGCCCATTTCCACGTGTGCTTCCCGGTGGCGCAGCCGTAACTCCTCAGACCGCTAATCAATATGTTGGTGGTTCGAGCTTGGCTCTGAGTCACCTCAACCCCAACATGCACAATCACCCAATTCACACTCCATCACCTCAATGGATTCATTTAAGACCCTTTCTCACTGGTTTCCTCTCTCCACTTGGGTCCACCTCCCCGCCTTCCGGGGAAGGAACAGTGAAAGGAAAGGGTGCATAACAGTTATGAATGGGTACATTTTTTAATTCTCCTCACCCAAACTCTAAGCTGTGTTTAGCCAGCTGACTTAGTTTGATCTAACTGTTGATTTTTCTCCTCTTGTGACAGTAAATCACTTTTTTACCATGCTAAATCGCCGTGGCAATTTATGTCGCGTGACTAACCAGCTGCATGGTCGTTCATGTTCAGTTCCTGTTAAAATGTCAGGCTGATGACATAATAAGGCTTATTACTCAATAACTACATAGACTACAAACAAACTGACTGAGCTATTCTTAGACCTCCTGATCCACTGTCAAAGCTCTGAATAGAGTCTGAGGGATTAGAGTCTGATTAGAGTCGTCAGAGTCTGTCCACCAGGTGAGAAGTGTGATTCTATTCTTTAGAGCTTAATCAAGTCGTCAGCGAAAAGGTTTGGAGATGCCACTCATTTCTGACATCAACACAAGCGATCTCTAAGATATCAGAATGGATTTGGGGAGAGAGATCAATACAGTGGGTGAATTCAACTTCTCCGGGGGCCTGCTGACCGGCCTGACCGGCCTCCCCGAAGTGTTATTCGTCTCTGAGCTTTTTCTAGCAGCAAAACAAGATTTAAACCCAGAAGATCAAGCCTGTTTCACACATCTACAGAATGTTACACACCTTTTAAAGATGACTGCTCAAGAAGAAAGGAGCAAAAAGAAAGCTTCAGGAGAAGAAAGGGATGACAGATGGTCTGGTTTCCATGGAAAAAGAACTATAATGCAGCTGGATTATTCAGCAAAACACCATCTGGAACGGTTCTGTAGCCAACACCAGGCCAGTATTGGTGAAATAATTGATGACCTAGTTGAACGGAGGTTGGAAAAAATTGTGCAGATGGTCTAGAGTTAATCAAGTGACAGTCCAGTAGTCCAGTTCAAAAGGTCTTATTTGGGAGGCACCATTAATGTATTAGAGATTCGGTGTATTTCTTTGTTTAACAGAACGTTCTTGTACCTGAATTCAGTCTTGTTTGCCACATTTGAATGTTCCTAGCACAAAATAAATGCCTTCAGTTCGCCTTCAAATAAATCAGCACTGCTTCAAAGCAGTTCCCACCCAAACTCAAAGCAGTGGCATTTTTTAAACTTCCCTCACCAAAATGGGAAGCATGGTTTGGCATTTTTGAACTTACATCATCAAAAAACTCTAAGCAGTGTCAGGCTTTTTTAAACTTTCCTCACCAAAATGTGAAGCAGTGTCTGAAATTTTCGAACTTTCCTCACCAACCTCTAAGCAGTGTTTTGGCTTTTTTGAATTTTTTTCTCAACCCAAACTCAAAGCAGATTCTTTCTTATTCAAATCCAAATAATCAAACGATTTGTCATCAAATCCAAAGCAAATGTTCAAACATAAATCAATGTTCCTCACCCAAACTCGAAGCGTAACAGTGTTTGGTAGATGGCGTGCGGCAGAGAGAAACACGTGGCCATCACCCAGATCACTCCGACCCACACCACGCCCCGCAGACACGACATCCTCTGCTTCAACGGATGCATCACTACCTGAGGGCGGAATTGCACCAATCACCAACCAGAACCTTCATTATCCACATAAACATGCAAACATTGGGATTAAATTGGGTTTAATCCTTTGCAGCTATAGCATGCACCAAAAATCTGATTAGCTGATTATGATCATTCTCAGCACAGTGTGGTCCATCACCAAAAAATATCCAGTCAAGAGCAGTAACTGACCACTGATGAAGGGCTAAAACATTGGTGCCCAGCACGTTTTTAATGTTTGGCCAACTTCCAACTCATGTGATCCAACTATTCCGCTAATTACCAAACACTTCTTGAGTTGAAGTGGGTGTTTTCACAGGATAACGCCAAAATGTGCAGGTCAGGGGTTCCACCAGGACCAGGGTTGGGAACCACAGGGCTAGAGGATAGATAACACTAGTGATGCGCTAAAGTGAAAATGTGTGGCCGAAAACTGAAACTGAAAGAACATTTATTTTAATCATGCTTTTGGATGAATCTACTCAACATTAAAAACTACATGCACATAAAGAAAATACACTATTTATAAAATCTGCTTTTTAATAACACAAAACTGAACTGACAATAAATAAAAGCAATTTACACAAAATAAACTACAATAATTGCAGTGTGTAGCTACAGAATGAGCCACAAAATCCAATGTTTTCAACAGCAAGAGAACAGTTGATCATCCAAGACTATTAACTCCATTTTTGTTTATTATTCGTTGCTCTTTTTAGTGATTTGTAAATATTTGCATCATTTAGTCTACGAAGTGTTCAGAAGGTGTTGGCACTCTTCCTGCTTCTGCAGTTTTGCTGTGTTCAGGTGCTATCAAACCTGCAGTGGACCCAGAAGGATACGTGGTTTAGATGATGGATGGATGGATGGATGGATGGATGGAAGCATCTAGGAGCAACAACAGCTCACTACAGAGTTCCAAACTGCCAAAAATATCCAGACAAGGGAACTGCACGTCAGGAGCTTCATGAAATGGGTTTCCATGGCTGAGCAGCTGCACACAAGCCTAAGATCAAAACACACAATGCCAAGCGTCGCCTGGAGTGGTGTAAAGCGCCGCCACTGGACTCTGGAGCAGTGGAAACGTATTCTGTGGAGTGAAGAATCACGTTTCTCCATCTGTCAGTCTGATAGACAAGTCTAGGTTTGGTGGATGTAAGGAAAACGTTACCTACCAAAATGCATAGTGCCATCAGTAAAGATTGGGATGGGGAGGGATGATGGGCTGGGCTGTTTGTCAGGGTTTAGGCCCCTTAGTTCCAGTGAAGGGTGATGTTAATGTTACAGCACATAAAGACACTTTACACAATTACTTTGTGTCAGCAGTTTGGGGAAAACCCTTTCCTGTTCCAGCGTGACTGAGCCCCTCTGCACAAAGTGAGCTCTATAAAGACATGGACAAACAAGTTTGGTGTGGAGGAACTCCAGTGGCCTGCACAGAGTCCTGACCTCACCCCTCTGAACTACTTTGGGACGAACTAGAACACTGTGAGCCAGACCCTCTCGTCCAACATCAGTACCTGACCTCACAAATGCTCTTTTGACTGAACAAGCACAAATTCCCACAGACGCACTCCAAAAGTCTTCCAAGAAGAGTGCAGGCTATTATAGTCAGAAAGAGGGGCAACTCCATATTAATGACCATGGTTTCGGACAGTGACGTCCAACAAGCTCATTTCGGTGTGACGTTCAGTTGTTATATTTTGGCCGTATAGTGTAGCTTCTCCTGATCCTATACATCCACAGAAATGACAAATCTTGGGTCTAATGTTCCTCTGAAACAGTTCCACATGGCCAGTATGCTAGAAGAGCTCTACAACACGTTTGACAGTTTATTAGTCAGGAGCGCAACATAAATATGATGCTGTCGTGATTTTAACACATTCCGTAGATGGACTCTCTCATATTTTAGTACACTGGACCGTGATGGGTCCATTCGTGACGTACAAAGCTAGGCTGCTATGTAGCACCACAAATGGCTTTTTCAGATGTGCTGAGAAAGTCCGTGTTTTCAATGGTAAAATCTGAATTCTGTGCTAACATGCTAATCTAAATATCATCTCTATGATCATAATAAGTCGTTCGAAAGGAGTTAATCATTCAAAAAGCATGTTTTTGGGTGTAGGGGGTCTTCGACCGAGATTTGTTTCTGGTCACCGTAGCTATTATCGGCTCAGTGGTGGTCCTATCGTGGTCCTATCATCCTACCACCTAACTCTATGTTAGGTGTTTCTAATAAAATGGTCAGTAAGTGTAACTGCTTGTTTAATGGACCTAATAAAATGCAAACCGTGTGTGTGTGTGTGTGTGTGTGTGTGTGTGTGTGTGTGTGTGTGTGTGTGTGCGCTTGCGCTCACCTGGTGTCTGTCTATGGCGATGGCGACCAGCGTGAGAACCGACACGTGAACCGAGCAGTACTGAGCAAAACGGCTCACGTGACACATCGCCCTGCCAAACACCCACGTACTGTACACGAACCGCACCTGCAGAAACACAGTTTTACAGACACCTTCACTCAGAACAGCAACTGTTCACACATTCCAACACTCTTAAAGATGGTTCTTCAAGGGTTCTTTAGTAAAGGCAATGATTCTATATAGAACCATGAACACTTGTGAGCTTAAATCGTTCTTTGGATGGTGAGATAAAGCATCAAATTGTAGAACAATATGATTCTATATAGAACATTTTTGAAAATGGTTCTATATAGCACTAAAAGAGGGTTGTGCTATTGTTACGATGTCAAGGGTTCTTTAGTAAAGACAGTGATTCTATATAGAACCATCAACCCTTGCGTGCTTAAATGGTTCTTTGGATGGTGATGTTGTTCTTTAATTTGATGCTTTATGTGGTTCTATTAGAACCTTTTTGAAAATGGTTCTATATAGCACTGAAAAAGGGTTCTGCTATTGTTATGATGTCAAGCTTGTATAAATAGCAGACCCTTTTGGTGCTTTATAGAACCATATACAACACATAATCCAAATAAACCTGAAGAACCATTTCACCATGCAAAGAACATTTTAAACATGCAAATGGTTCTTCGAGTGTTCATGATTCTATCTAGAACCATTGTTTTTTCTTAAGAACACTTGACGAACCATCTCTTTAAAGTGTGCATGCAAAAAAAAAACAGCATTTGTGCAATAAAATAATGAACGTCCTACAAAGTTTCTACTAATGTTCTTTGGTCAGCATGAACATTTAAGATAGGATCGAATCTAGAACAATAGTCATTACAGAGTAACAGTTCCTAAGTTCTGTCCTAAATTTGGGGACACATCCCAACTTCTGTTTCCATTTCTACCATTATCTGTTCTATTAAAATACATTATTGTTGTTTTTCAGGTAACTGTGACAGGCAGTTATTCATACTGCAAAGTGATGGTGGCGCCGGTGAGAGTGAATTATTATTATTATTTTTTTTTCCAAAATCTACAGTTTCCTGTCCCAGACATGCTTTTCTCATTGCCTCCTGTTACTTCTATGTGTTGATGTTGATGAAAACATGCAGATAAAATATTGCAGTCTTGTGCGCCTGTCGAACTATCAAACATTAGTCAGCTATAATCGTTTGTACATAATAATCAGTGACAGTTTAAAGGAAATAAGACCTTATTTCAACAAAATCTGTCAAAATCTCAAGGAAATAGGACATTTTAACATAATCAGACAGAAATGTCAGAAAAAGAAACATTATTTCAACAAAACCAGTCAAAATCCAAAGAAAATATGATGTTATTTTAACATAATCTGTCAAAAACTCAAGGAAATAAGATGTTATTTCTACGTAACCAGTGAAAATCGTAAGAAAATAAGACCTTATCCCATCATAATCTGTCAAAATTTCAAGGTAATGAGACCTTATTTCAACATAATCTGCCAAAATTTCAAGGTAATGAGAATTTATCTCATCATAATCTGTCAAAATTTCAAGGAAATAAGAATTTATTTCAACATAATCTGTAAAAATCTCTAGGAAATGAGGTATTATTTTAACATAATCTGTCAATTCCAAGGAAATGAGACCTTATCTCAACATAATCTGTCAAAATTTCAACATAATCAGTGAAAATTGTAAGGAAATTATTATAACATAATGAGTGAAAATCTCAAAGAAATAAGACCTTATTTCAACATAATCTATTAAAATCTCAAGGAAATAAGACTTTATCTCAACATAATCTGTCAATTTTAAAATAATGAGTGAAAATCGTAAGGAAATAAGATCTTATAATGAGTGAAAATCCTAAGGGAATAAGACCTTATTTCAACATAATCTGTTAAAATCTCAAGATCAACTATTTCCATGACAATATTTCAACACGATCAGTCAGAATCCTGAAGAAATAAGACATCATTTTAACATAATCAGACAAAATTTGGAGAAAAAACAAATCAATGGAAAAAATCTTGAAATCTGAACAGCTGATCACGTGACTTAGAGCTCTGATACGCGATGCTACTCGACTCCCTCCTCGCTCTGTCATCACTGAGCTCCCACAGCACCCAGTGCCCTCTCAAACATAAACTGCTGGAATGTGTTTATGTGGCTGATCAAACGTGAACTGGAAATTTGACCCGTCATAATTTAGAAATACCTGGATCCTTTTTAAATTCAGTGGTTTATCATATTAAACCGCCCAGTCCTGCGAGAAACGCAGCCCCCTCTGGCTTTGGGACACAGCTTGTGTCCTTGTTAACATGTAAATGAGGACGTGAAGAGTGAGTTTCTGAACGCTGCATAAATTTTATTAGTCTGTTTTATTTTTCTTTATTTTTCTTTCTTTCTTTTCTTTTTGAATATGACCTGAGCCGTCAGGTCAAAGCATGAGGAGAGCTGAAGAAGCTTTTTCACCCATTAGCTTACAGTCAATTACCCACAGCTTGAGCTCCAGACTGCTGGATCAATTCAGATCATCATCATAACCATCATCATCATCATCATCATCACCAAAAACATCCTCAAAATCAACCCCATCACCATCATCATAATCATCATCCTCGTCAACATTATTGTCATCAAAAACATCCTCATCCTTATCATCACCTTAAACATCATCTTCATCATGAAAATCATCCCCATCATTATTATCAATATCATTATTACAATCACCATAAAAATGAACCCCATCACCATCATCATCATCATCATCATCATCATCATCAGCATCATCAGCATCATCATCACCAACATCGTCATCGTATTCCACCATCACTGTACTATTATATTCATCTTCACAATCATCATCATCATCATCATCCTCTCATCACCACCACCATCACTATAATCACCAACATCACTATTACATTCCTCATCACCACCATCATCACTTTTATTACTAGCAAAACCATCATCTTCATATCACCACCACCTTCATCATCATCAGTACATTACTGGTATCCTCTTCATCACCACCATCATTACTCTATTCGTCATAATCATCATCATCGTCATCATCGACATCATCATCATCACTACATCATTTTTATATTCATCATCATCATCCTCATCATCTTCATCATTCTCTCATCACCACTGCATCACCACCTTCATGAGCATCAACCTCTTATCTTACCATCACTACTGTATTCTTCATTGTCACCATCTTCATCATCTTCTCATAACCAACATCATCATCAAACCATCACTATTACATCCTTCATCATCATCATCATCATCACCACTCCCATCATTATTATATTCTTCATCCAATCATCTTCTCATGACAACCATCTCCATCATCACTACCGTCGCTGTTATACTCTTCATTATCATAATCTTCATCACATCATCTTCTTTTGACCACCTATCATCCCTACCATCACTGTTATAGTCTTCATCATCATCATCATCATCATCATCATCATCACTACCATCACTATTATGTTCCATATAATCCATCATCATCCTCACAATCTTCATCATCATTTTCTCATGACCACCATCCCCATCATCATTACCATCACTGTCATTCTTCATTATCATCATCACCATTATGATTATGAACATCACTATTATATCCATCATCATCTCCATCATCACTACCTTCACTCTTATATTCATCATCATGATCATCAACATTATCGTCATCATCATCATCATCATCCTCATCCTCCTCTCCATCTCCTCACTGTTCCTCAGGGTTCCTCTCCTCTCTCCACAGGAACTCACCAGAGTGAAGGGGGTGTTGAGCAGGGTGATGAGGATGTCCGCGATGGCCAGGTTCATGATGAAGATGCTGGTGACGGACCGCGTGCGCTTGTTCTTCATCACCACGTGGCACACGGCCGTGTTCCCGATCAGAGAGATGATGATGATGATGGAGTACGCCGTCGCGAGCAGCGCCTGCACGGCGGGCCGCTGGGAGTCCGTGCGGTACTGCGGCTCCGCATCCATGGACAGGTTCAACAGCGCGCTCAGGTTCAGCGCGCGCAGCCGCGAGAGCGCGGCCAGAGAGTCGTTACTCATATCGGCAAGAGCGGAAACTGCAGACATCTCCATCCTCACTCCCGCGCGCCACTGGCGTTCCTCTACATCTGCTCACCGCGCGTCCTCGCGCGCGCCAAGACCCTCTGTTTCTTCCTCCTCCTCCTCCCTCTCTCTCTCTCTCTTCTCTCTCTCTCTCTCTCTCTCTCTCTCTCTCTCTCTCTCTCTCTATATATATATATATATATATATATATATATATAAACTCTCTCTCACTCACTATCTCTCTCGCTCTCTATCTCGCTCTGTATAACGCTCTCTGTTTAACTCTCCGCTACATCTGCTCACCGCGCGTCCTCGCGCGTGCCAAGACCCTCTGTCTGTTCCTCCTCCCTCCCTCTCTCTCTCTGTATAACTCTCTCTCTCTTTCTCTCACTATCTCTCTCTCTCTCTCTCTCTCTCTCTCTCTCTCTCTCTCTGTACAACTCTCTCTCTCTCTCTCTCTCTCTCTCTCTCTCTCTATCTATCTATACAACTAGAGTTATTGAATGGGCAAAAAAATGAGTGTCTCGAGGGAGTAACTAACGCGAGCGCGCGAGCTTTCAGGATGAACTATTGGGAGCTGGAACCTTTATTACTGGTTGAGACTCAGACTGAGGTGGCGAACTACAAATAAAGCAGCATCACTGCATTAAAATGGCATAAAAAGCGATGCGTTCACTGAAAAGTCCTGACGTCATTTGTACGTAAATAATCGCGTTATAATTACTTTCTTTCTTGCAGTTCGCTGCTGTGACTCCATCCAGGCTGTTAGGACTGAAAACCCCAGTCTACTTACTTTGGTGAGTAGAACTCAAAAGGACAGCAATTAAAAAGTGATGGGGCGGAGTTACCAGCCAGGGGGCGGGGCTACCCAGAATTCCTAGCGTGTTAGCTGACTTCTGTTTATTAGACAGATTTTTTTTTTTCTACAGATGTTGTTTTCAAACAAACAACACTCACATGTTTCATATGTAGGTTAAATATAAGTGTGGATGCACTTTACACTCTTAAGACAGATGGTTCTTCAAGGGTTCTTTAGTAAAGACGATGGTTCTATATAGAACCATGAACTCCCAAAGAACTATTTGCATGTTTAAAGGGTTCTTTGCCTGGTGAAATTGTTCTTCGGATTGATAGGGAATGTGCTGTATATGGTTCTATATAGCACCATAAAGGGTTCTGCTACTGTTTCAAGCTTGTATTGTAATAATAGCAGAACCGTTTTTGGTGCTATATAGAATCCTTTTCAATAAGGTTCTGTATAGAGCTATATATAACACATTCTCAATCGGTATCAAGAACCATTTAATCATGCAAAGAATCCTTTAATCATGTGAGGGGTTCTTCTATTGTCACTATACAGCATCAGTCAGAAATCAGACCCACTACAATGGTGGTAGAGCTGGAAGTGGCCACTCAGTCATATGTGTACAGTGAATACAGCAGGGGGGCTCAGGACACATCCCTGAGGGACTCCAGTGCTGAGGGTAGGTGAGATGTGTTTTCCTACCCGCACAGCTTGTGGTCTGTCTGTCTTTATACTAACAATGTTTACTGTCCGGTGTCGACCAGAGGAGGATGGATTCCCCTTCTGAGTCTTGGTTCCTCTCAAGGTTTCTTCCTTTTGCTGTTGGGGAGTTTTTCCTTGCCGCTGTCGCCACTGGCGACGCTCATTGGGGTTTTGGACCCGGATTTTTCTGTGAAGCTGATTTTTCTGTAAAGCTGCTTTGCGACAACACCTGTTATAAAAAGCGCTATATAAATAAACTTTGCTTGCTTGTCTGTCAGGAAGTTGGAGATCCAGTGATACAGGGACGGATGAAGTCCCAGATCCTCCAGCTTGGGGTTAACATACAAAGACAAAGTAAATTTGGTCTTTTGATTCATATTTTTACATAGATTTTAAAATGAAAAAGAGCAAAACATCTGAAACCATGGATTTTCTACCTTATAAGTATCTTTTGGATATCATTATTTTGGTTTTAAGTATAACTATATTAATGAATTTGACATTAACAGTTGGTGAAGCTGTTATTCAGAAACAATGCTCCATATTTTACTGCTGTGCAGTGTTTTTATTTGCTCTCCTTAACTGGACAAACAATAAATCCATCATTTGTTTCACACACAGCCTCATGTCGGTTTTCATACACAATTTGATGTGTGTGTGTGTGTGTGTGTGTATCTATCAGTTGGTGACCCCTGGTTCCTATTACCACCACTTATGTTTAAAATGCATAATCTAGATTCACACTTCATCACGTTTCATTCACCGCTTGCGGCTGTTTCTCCAGGCTTTTGTAAGACTGTGGGTGGCTGAAGGTCACTAAGGAGACCAGCTGAGTGCATTGATTTCTTCTATTCTTTTCACAAGAACCTTTCAGTGACGGAACACTCGGGAAACACGGCCTTCCTCGGGTTCATACTTAGCTTCGAGACATGACTTTCTTGAGAAGGGTCTGACTGCAGACCCACAGAGCCACAGATTGACACCCGCAGTTTCACTCCAGCGGTTTCAGGCCAGTGGAACGCATGTGCAGTAGGACAGCATGTAAACGCCCTTATAGGACAGTTGAGCGTTACAAGCGACCCATTCATATTTCAACCAGTGGCTGGTCTCCTCATTTATAACATCTCTGATGTAAACAGCGACTGTTTGTGCTGGTTGTATGTGTTGCCATGAACATTACCGTTCAGGAAGGGAGACTGTTATACCAATACATGACTCAACCATCGGTAACCGGTTAAACCATAAACCAATACACATTACAAAACCATCAGAAACAAAAAGAAACACTTAATGGTTTCAATGTTTTTTCAGCAGGAATACATTTATAAACTAAAGTTTGTTTTAGCCTAAAGCTTAATATTATCCTCAGTTTAAACCTGATTATGGTAAAGTTTTATTCCTGCAGTGTACACATAAAGCCCCCATATTAGGGGTAAGTTATTGAGCTATATGTCTACATAACCCATAGCTTACCCACCACATCAGCTATAGTTTGTGTAATATTTACCCTGTGAATCTCTACATGCATTCAAACCAAAGTTTGTTTTAGCCTAAAGCTTAAAATATAACATTAGCCCAATGCAAATTTATCACAAATTTACTGGAAACCCACATAAAGCGACTGAAATGTTGGTTATCCTAAAACACGCTAAGAAAAACCAACCAGTGTTGGTGTGCTGAATATCACTGGCTTAAACCTGCTGGCGTGAAACTGCGGCTCCGCGGTTCTGCAGACAGATATCAGTGGCTTTGTTTGAGCTGTTGCACCCATTTGGGGAAGGAAAGTGCAGAAGTGCAACATCTGCCGGTTGCATTCAATGCAATTTCTCATTAGGTCTTGCATTTTTCCATCCACTTTCCATTAGATCTGCTTATACACAAGTAATCTGTGCACCACTTACTGACTGATGATACAGGATCAGTTCTGTTTTTAACTACTCTTAATTTAGAACATCAACCGACACCTCAAACCCGTCCGCCAGTGGGTTATTCTTGGTGGTTTATACATGGTTTACTTTCTAATTCCTTCCAAAAGACAATGAGAAGGTTCAGAACCAAACAGAGAAGACAGTCAGTAGGTTTCTTTATCAATTAGAAGAACTGCGTCAGTGTCTAGTGTGTTGATCTATCCATGGCCTTTGGGCATCTTTATGGCTGCAAAGAACACCAGGATGGTCCCAAAACAACCATCACCGCCCAAATCACACTTCTGGAAAAACAATATATAGTGCAGCAGCCGGTTGCACCAGCTGAACGTAGATTCGATTGTGGCATGGTTTGAATGTGAACTGCCACTACGTTCAAGTTTACGACCTACTATTAGACTGGTTGCACCAAGTAACATAGTTTCAATGTAGCTTTAAGTAGCATCACTGCATCACAGACAGTAACTGAGCTTTGAGTTCTACTGTGTGTCTGGCACCAAGATATTCTGCTACAGGGTCGTTCCAAAACCTGGTGGGCGACTCTGTTCAAGTCAACTGCGTGCGGAGCAATAAGAGCAGCTCCATCAGTGCTCAGGTTGTTTTTGATGCTAACTTTATTATTATACAGTACATAACACAGATTATTTTTTTGGATATAACTAACAAAGCTAACATTAACTTTTTGCCATTCAGCAGATTCTAATAGTGATTACATTAGCTGCATTACCGACCATTCAATGGGTGCGTTTACATGCACATAACAATCTGATAACTGCAGAAAATCAGATTTTGTCTGTAATCTGAACAATGTATTTACATGCACTTGGGTAATCAGTTAATGGGGAAACTCTGGCTCTACATGAGTCAGACAGTAATCGGATTTCTGCTTTGCAACCAGCCATTAAACTCACAGAAGAAGACGTGACGTAAACGTAACATAAAACTCAAACTTCATGCTGCAGCTTTTTAAGAAAAAAAAAATGAGCCACTTTATCTGAAAACATGAACATACATCATTTAGAAAAATACTTAAATCCTTCATCTCATCAACCATGTAGTTGGTTTCAGCGTCGCTCCAAAAGTGTTTAGTTGCTTCTCATGGTTGCCGCGTTAAAAACGCTGCTCGCTTATTTCCGGTCCGTTTTTGCACATGTGCAGAATGAGAAAAATGAAAGAAATCAGAGTAAGAGTGCTGAGGAATCTGATTACTGAGCTAAAACCCAGCTCTCTTTATTGGATTTCATAATTGGATCTCTAGACATTCTGCTGTTTACATGACCATTTGAAGAATCAGATAATCTGATTATGATCTGATTATGGAGTGCATTTCAACGCACTCATTGATAAAGTGCCGTTAAAATATTTGCAGCAGCAGAACAGATTAAACACACATACAAGAGATGGACACTTTGAGGACTTTACTATAAAATACGATCTCTTTTTGAATTATAGCTAATGGGTCCTTTTCACATAGAGTTGTGATTTACTTCTGGTTTAAGCGTTAGCAGGGTAAAACGCACGTCCACTCAATATAACTACTGCAGAAGTGATGACAAAATGTTATAGTAGTGAGCACTGAGCTACACCAGCTATATTTT